TTTGCCGGATGGGGTTATCAGTGCTTGTGAAAAGATGACGGTACTTCTCAATGAGCGACAGCAGCTTCTCTCGTTCAGATAACTGTAGGTGATCCCCAGTCTCTATAAAGAATTCTTGGGGCACTTGATCATTCTGTGGAGCCGTAATTGCCAGCTACGCGTAATGAATGGACGAAACCCATCCAAGCTTTGTTCTGCCGAGGAGATTTACTGGCGACATGGTGGGATTAGCAATACGATTGAGGCCTTTCCCATGCACAATCCTTGTTACTGTGCGTGCCACTTGGAGTCAGCTTCTGAGCGTGCTGATCGTTCGACAAGGTGAACTCCACCTCTCGCGACTCATTTCAACAGCCACCTCTACGCGTGCTTCAATACGAATGTGCTCTTACTATAAGGAGATCACCACACTATAAGGACCACATTGTGTTCAGGGGGCACCTGAGTTTACACTTAGCCAGAAAACTTCCCCATTGAGTGCGAGCTCTTTCTTCGAGAAATCAATAAGAAGTCGGGCTGCTCTCGAGAAAGGAAGGCCACCTAGCAGCTCGTTCGGGCTATCCTTCACTACCAAAAATGTCTCATGAATATTAGTGGAGCCCAATTCAAGTCTTACTTCGGCTTCACGGCGGGGAGTGAGCACAACTCCGCCAATTCCTCTAATATATGTCTTTTCTCAATTTTGATGTAGCACATATTTTGTTGGCTAACCTTCTGAGATTACACTTATGGAGAAGCCGGTGCCAATTACAAGCTGTGCACCTGTACCATTGGCTTGTGTAGGGACTGCAAGAAGCTGACTTTCCAACAATGTACCGATGGGGTGGCCGGGCTGGCTCCCTAGGCCCAGCCGTTCTCGTTTCCCGAAGGGTTGTGCTGTCCATTCTGGTTCTCAATGGGCACCGCTTGATCATTCCTGCCATCTTGAAACCGCTGCCAGCATTGTTCTGCTACGTGGCCTATGCGGCGGCAAATTTGGCATCGGGGACAGCCGTCGGTGCGGGGAATTTCGCGGTGGCCAAGGCATTGGAGGACGACGCATCTCATCCTTGATGCTTTTGAGCCAGTCAGAAAGCAACGCGATGGAGTCAGCAATTGCCTTTAGCTCTCTTTCGCGGTCGGGAGCCTCCCGCGGGCTACGCAACTCGGTCGCGGCTCAGCTGGCGACACACGGAGGGGCTGTATTGTTGCTGCGGGGGGTGCCATTCCAACCAGAGGCGCGATGTTTTGCGTCCATGACTGCAGGCTGGTAGAATAGTAGGTGCCAATTGACTGGGGCCGTGACGCAGGACTCAATAAAGATACTACATTAGTGCACTGCAAAATTTGAAGTAAAACAGCGTAGGTTTCTGGGTTTGCAATTATGTTTTTTTCTTGAATGTCCGGGCGCAAACCACGCAAAAGGTGCCGCAACCGATCGTATTCTGTCATAGACGGGTTGACTCTAGCACAAAGTTGTGTGACATCATAATAATACTGCTTGGGGGTTTCGGAAGGTAGCTGGGTCCGGTTTTGCAGATGCAAATGGGCGATCTCAATCAAGTGCCGACTTGTGAATGAAGTTTTCAAGAGCGTCGCCCACTCTTCCCATGAATTTGGGGCACCCATTAAAATTTGTGTCATGTGCCACTTTTTTGCATCCCCATCTAGTGCCAAATATGAAAATTTAACCTTTGTGGCTTGGTCCCAATTATTCAATGGTACTACATGCTCGTAGCAAAGTAGCCACTCAGAAATAGATTCCTCCGGCGCGCCTCTGATTACTAGGGGTCCGACGAAAGGTTTTGCATGGGGGGTAGACATAGCAGAGAGAAAGGTAGGGGGTTTCGTCATAGTATAAAAGTTCGAGGTTGTTTCCTGATGCTTGTTATTGACTTGGGGCATAATTTCAGAGCGGCAATATCGCTACCCCACACCTCCACTACTTTGTAGCAAAACTTTGGGGTTGTTTAAGCTAGACACATTTGAAGACCGTCGAGACGAAGAAGTGTGGGAGAAATTTCGCACAGGCAAGTGATCACAAGTCGACACGATGATTTCAGGGAGCACTCATTGGGGGTTTATTTATCTAATACAAGTTAAATTTACACAATGCCCTAAGTCACAAATACAAAACTCGAGAAATGATAGCCTACCTCTCGGCTTGCATGAGTGGTCTCTGGTGGCCAGAAGCGCTGTTGACCCCGAGTCCGCTCTCCCCGAAAAGAGCCCGAGTTGTTGCGTAAAAAAGGTTTTCAAGCATCCACGGGTGCGCGGAAGACCACTGCTTTGCACCAATAAGAAAACGGCTTATAAGGACCAATCAGGCAAGTCGAGGATAACCAATCCCAACACGAGTTTTCATGGTCGCGTGAATCCTGCCTCGCAAGAAAACTGTGGCAGCTCCTTGAAACGAGCATATTCTCTAAAACAGCCTTGACGCGCAAACAAGTGCTCAAATTTCGGTCCCCGATTGCCCCAGAGAACCCAAGCGGGGGCTCACTCGTTTGGGGTGTGTGGCCCACAGTGACTGACCGGATTCAGCTTTTTGTCTTCAGACTCTCATTCTTCCTTGAGGTTCCCTCCTCCAAAAAGGTCGTTAAATAGCGCCTTTAACAGGAGCATCTGACAAAGAAAGAACTCCAGCTGTAGCTGAAAAACAAAAAAGCTTTCTGCGACACATTGCCTTCGCGACAATATCAAGGTTGTCTCTTGCTGTTACTTTGTCACATAGAGGTCCCAAATACATGTGCTTCTATGAAGCAAAGGCGAGGAATAGAAAAACTTTGTTATATAGAGGAATTCGTTATATGGAGGTTTGTTATTACCAGGTTTAACTGTATAACCATTAGTTCATTATAGCCAATATCCATATCTAGGAACAATTAGCCAGCAAGAGAGAATGTACTCGCAAGCAAATATCACAGCTGCCCTCTGCGCAGAGAAAAACAGCCGTCAGAAGGCAAGAAAACTAGCAAAATAATAAAGAACAATGCACTTTATTACCGCCAAATTCAGCACACCAGCTGGCAGATCACTTATAATAAACATTCCTTAATAGACTTTTGGCGACTCTTCCTCACGCGGATGACTGCCTTTTAAGCTGCAGCAGCCATTTCGAGACCGTCCTCGCCGTCATCGTAAGCACCAAAGTAGCGGCACAACAAGTCTGTCCCATCCAGCTCTTGCACTGGCGTCGAACGTCAGGTTCCCCAACATTAAGCTCTGGGGGTGACGACACATTCGCCAGTGTCGTCATGCATGCCCGTCACCACGGGCACAATTTCCGCATCTGACAGTTCTTCAGTTGTCACCACGTCAGCATCGGCACCAACATACTTGCAGAAAGTGTCACAGTCAGGCACAACGCCGGTGTCAAAGAGAGCATGCCATGACGTCTGGGCCTGGTTGCCCAAGGCATCCGCATCGCCGAAATCTTCTGCCACTTTTTTTTTTAACGCCAGACTCGGGGGCTTTCAACACTGCCGACTTCTGTTCGATTGTTATATTTTTGCGCTTACGTTTGCCTCTGCCACTGTCCATGACGTGTCTAGCGGCAGAAACTGATAGAGGTGGTGTGACTCTTCTACAGCAAACGACAAAAAAAGAAAGCCACAATATCCGCTGCCCTGGCGGCGCGCAAGGCCCCAGCGCAGTAAAGCCCATATACCTTCGTATATAATATAGGGCTTTACAGCGCGGAGCTGAACGGGAGAAGAAGTTCAGATGCGCGGGCGGGTCAACGAGTTCTACAGGAGAAGGGAGGCTGGCAGACTCGCACGAGTTGCTGCACGGGAGAGTCCATTAGTTTCAGAAGAAAACAGAAGCAGGAAGTCTCACTCCCACACGCGTGTTGGCAAGCGGCAAGGCACGAGTTTTGAATTACCACGGCCATGATGAGACGTAAACCATCGCGCGCTATGGGATATTGAATTGACATACATTAGAATTATGTGTAAATGCTCATTGTGGACGAGGAATGGTTCGTTATATCAAATGTGGGGAAATTTTCGCTTCGTTAAAATGAGGTTTTGAATACATGGGCATCTATGAAAATTTCAAGGGGAATTACAATTGCTTCATTATATCCATTAGTTTGTTATATCCCACTTTGTTATAGCGAGGACTTACTGTATCAAACTTTTGTTAATTTATATGTACTCAGCCCAAAACTGCTTAAGTCAGGCTACCAAGGCAGCATGTGGAATGCAAAGTACCACAAATGCATGAGGAAGAGAACCAAAAAGGTTGCTAGTATTTCAGGGAAATGAAGAAGCTGAATATGCATCACCAAAATCATCAGTGTGGATTGCACAAAAAATTGCATAGATGCCATGTGTACTACAAAACAACAACAAAAAAAAGTTTCACAGGAAGGGTGAAACTGCATTACAAATTCTAATGTTATACATATGAAGTGAGGTTAACAGCTATTTATTTTGGACTTCATCTCGTGTAACTACAACACATCGGTATAAGAAAGTACAATTGCTCCAGGGAGTGAAGCAGTTTTTGTGCTGCACGTCATCTCAAAACAAAGCATTTGGTGAGAGCCGAGCACACACAAGGGTGTAACAGCCGCCTACTGATGTCTGCCGAGATAGAGCTCGTGCCAGTGCTTGCGTTAGCAGCTGCTGCTCGAGTGACGCAGCCCTCCCTCAAGGTAATAACATTTTGCAATGCATGCTGTTCACAGTATGTCACAAACATTTTTCAGCTCCACGGCTAAAATAGCTTTTTTAGTGGGATCTCATCTGAATTGGTTCCAGCACAGCTGGGACATCTGCGTTTATTGGCGAAGGCAAAATCTTTTTTTTCACAATCCTATGATTTTTTGTTCCTGGGAGAACGACATACCTTAAACACATATTTTTTTTTCAGCTGAACATTGTTGCCAAATATGCCTGGGGTTCTTACGGAACACACCTTACAGTATTAATAATGAACCAGACGTAAAATTTTCAAAGCTTCCACAGTCCCCATACACTGAACCCACAGAAAAAAAATATAATGGCACATACTCTTTGAAAGCAGCAACTGTATCATCGACTTTGGATGGGTGACAGCAAATGACCAGCTTGGACGCGGCTGGGTCAAAAAGGGTGGACAGGTACTTTTTTCCTACACGAACCATGTCTGGTAGATTCACTTGTGCCACCTTTTCCAGCAAGGTCCTGCATGGCAGATATTACTAGTTGCTACGGGGCACAACTTTCAAGCACTGTGAACTAAATGGCAGTGATCATATCCATTGCTGTACAATTTTCTAAATTAGTTTTAATATATTGTAGTCATAATTATAAGGTAAAGTTGTTGATGGGGGCACAAGAAGAAGGAGAAGAGTGTGCATCTTAAGATAAGGTCATATACCATGGCTGAAAGATTATTCAAGACTTGGCGAAAATGGCCAAAAGGGAAGCAAAGTACTACACGAGCTCAGAAAAAAGGCACGACTTCAATAACATAACAATGAGGCACCAACATGTGTTCTACCAATCTCATACTTTTTACCTAAACATGCAAAACCACAAGCAGAATTGTCAGTCTATACATACTACCGTATTAACTTACGTAATGAACCCGCTTGCACAATGAATCCACCCCACACCTTGGTCCTTCAAAAAAAAAAAAAACTTTTTTAATGTATCTCTTCATTTTATTTCGGTATAATAGCAAGTTATATTCATGATCAAAACAATACTAAATCAAGCCATTATATCACTCAATAACACTGCAATGAAAGTCATAACATAGCTTGGCAAAAATGCTAAACAGTTGCGAGCAGCGCGAGTGTGGACGATGTCAATCAAAATTGGAAAGTGTCCCCTTTTGTGGCAAAGCGCCTTCTGTTGAATGCAGGAGAAACCTATTTGTTGATAGCGCCACGCATGCACAGCGGCAAAACAACAAAGCAAAAAACAAATCACATGGCTTCCGAAATGGCAGGAGCGAGATGGCAGGCGTGCAGCGTAGAGGCACGCTGCGCGCCCGCTATCTTAGGGTCAAGCAAAGTGCAATCGCACCCACCGCACCAATGGCGTCGTGCACTCGCAACATCTACCGTAACGTTTGTGCGCCACCATCTGTCGCTGCGTTTTTGTTGTTGGGTTTGTCATTGTGAACTTAGTTGGCACACCTGCTGTGCAGAGCGCATTTGACCAGTATGCTAGCTACACGGCTGGTTACAAACAGCATGCGCTGGAGCAGTGGTTTCCATTTTTATGATCCGCAGAAAACTCACTCGCTTTTTTCTTTTACATTTTTTTTTTACAAAATGAAGTGATGTGGCAGGTTTGTATCATGTTTTTGGTAGCAATAAAAGGCACCTGTTTCACGCAAATTACCTATGTACCCCCCTCCCATCACTGCCACCAGTCCGCAAGGGGTTTCCAACACATCCATGGCTGAGAACCACTGCGCTGGAGCATGAGAACCGGGGGGGCTGGACGGCACTTGGCGTCCAGCCACTCCAAGAAAGTACAGGAAAGTACGACATCCAGGTAAGTGCAGAGGCGTACACTTCGACCAGTAAGACCACACCATGCGGCCGCTCTGCAGAGTGCCTGCCTCTCGGTGGAGCTAGGACAAACTTGCACGCAAGCGCAATGACAGCTGTAGGTGGTGCCTTTGCCACATTGCCTGCTAAACCGCAACAGCTCCTCTGAATATCTTTTGCTTTGCTGTGAAGCCAACTTGCTATGTGCATGCAAATCGAGAATCCGACATGGTTCCCGAGAAGTGCAGCGACAGTGCTTTGTTCTGTTGAAGTTTTGCTTCTCGTGTTTGCTTTCTTTTCTTCATGTGATCTTCCTAGTAATAAATGTGTGCCCCTGCATAAGTAAAAACTCCAAGCCGTGTCACAACTCCGAGAACTAAGCTACTCAGTTGCTCTGTGGCCAGTTGCCAGAATGTTGCCACTGTTCATGCGATTGTTTTTGATCAGTCTAAAAGTTCGGCACCACAAAATCAATGACAAGTACATGAAAAGTTCGACATGAGAGTCTAAATGCGGAAATGTTTAAACTTGTTACTCACCCATAAACATTGAAGGTGTGAGCAGTTTGTCAATTTCAGAGAAATAACATGACATTCAGGTGTTACCAGCACTGATGCTTCATGCACTAGTGAATTTAACTCGCCAACATGCTGCCCTAACTTAGCACTCATTTGCAACTACATTCTTTGTACCATTTTGCAGACAAATTAAGAAGTGTTCTAACGGACTTTTTTAGCTGAACTCATACCAAGCAATCAATTCACAAAAGAAGCACTGCTGACTCCCTTTTTAGTGCGACAGCAATTACATGGACAGTCTCAACTGATTTTTACCATTACTGCCACCGCCGTCATTCACCGTATATATATACGTGTCTATATATATGAAAACTCAAGAAAGAAAAAGCCACCCAGGCTATGCGTTCAGCTCGTCACGATGCGCCGATGGACGCGTGACACCCGCTTATCTCCTACACGTACTTTGCCCTGCAACTGAGAGGGGGGTAGATGCTTGTGTGTGCGCGCTTATCTTTCAGTGGGGAAAATTGTGGGCCTTCGACTTTCAGCGGAAAGATTGCGTTATTTCCAGGGCCTACAAATGTCACTTCGCTCCGCTGCAGAGGCCCCTGTTAAGGAAAAGAATGCACTTTTCATACACAACAAAGTATAAAAACTGGGACACTTGTCAGTTTGCACTCATCTATACTTGTGATTACGTTTCGTCCATCGTTTGTGTTTACACAGCACATTAAGTGTGGAGCAGTAAACATTGTTAGTTTGCTCTCGTTCTGTGTATGTTGTTTTCGTGCGTCATTTGTGCGTGAGCAGTGTGCTTCACGTTTCAATCTGCTAGCCATTCTCAGCGTTACATTCCAAGTTATTGCTATCGCATTCATTTCTTCGCACTTGCGGCAAAACTGTGACTTTTTTTTATTCCTAGCAACCCATGGGTTGCAAAACTGCTAGCCGACTTAGTTAGAACAAATTTATTTTTTAGCCACTCTGCGCGAAAAAAAATGCTTTATTTTTGAAAATACATCTGCTGGCGTAGTCAATCTGATGTGCATGATCTCAAAAAAAAAATGTCATCCCTCATGCATACATATTTTTGTGCCAAGGCTTGCGTATTGCTTTGAATTTTTCTTGCCTCCAAACTTTGGAATGATGTAGAAAGTTCCCTTTGAGCCTTCAACTTGCAGTGCAGTCAAACTTATCTTTTTTTTTTTTTATTATAAGCTTTGTCTCACCCAACTTTAAGCGGATGAAAACAGTAACGTGAATCACAGAAATATTCAACTGTGTGGTACAAAAGAGCTGAGTAGCCTGCTTAATTGGGGGTAGTGCCAGTTCAGCTTGGAGATTTTACTCATGTAAGGGCCAATGTTTAAATTATTGTAGTCGTGAGATTGCATGTAACAAAGAAAAAAAGACTTGAGGAGGAAAAGCTGCACAGAGCAAGGCACAGTCGCTGCGCTTCTTGAAAATCATGCTTGATACTCGATTTGCATTCGCATAACACGAGTGAACTTAGCTTCGCTGCAAGTCAAGCGTGGCTCGGCACAGCTGCTATGTTTTAGCAGACGGCGCGGCCGACGCCACCTACAAATGCGACTATGCTCAAACGCTATTTTAAGGGCCTGCGAGAGAGACTCCGTGGAGTGCTGGCCGCACGGTGCAGTGTTACAAGTGGAAATGGACGCCTTTCTAACATACAAAACTCATCTGCACATACTCAGGTAGAAAGCACCACCTGTCAATCAGGCACATGTGTGGCATTACAGGCGAGATAAACGTTTAGACATTCCATTCTTTCTTGACGCAAAATTAAATGGCTGGCTCATGCAAGTGCTTTTGCTTCATTTGATATGCCAAGTTTCAAACATTAGATGCACCTCTACATTCTTGTGTGGGTACAAACTGGCAAATCTTTAAAATCAGGGGCATGCATTTACAATATCACCAGCACAAGGAAAGAGTAGGTGGAAATCCTCTGCTCATTGAACTTTTATGATCAATCAATCTACAGATTGCTGTACGGGTGTGATTTATAGTGTTCTTTTATAGTGGGCAAGGAGTATTATAGTGGGCGAGGAGTAATAAAGGAAGAGTTTCCTGGGGGGGGGGGGGGGGGGCGGATCCAACTAGTAATGTTCACTTGCCTGGTGTAGCTCATGTCAATGCCACGGAGGTAGGACAGCATGGACTGGAGGGCAACCTCATTGACATACTTCTCCTTCTCAATAAGTTCAAACATGAGGCTACTGCGGCTTGCTTCCAGCAACTCTTCATCCCACTCCTCCTCGCCTGCAATGTGTCGCTGTACAATCTGCATTGCCTCGCGATATGCGGATGCCACCAATGTAGACTTCGTCAGAACAAAGTAGAGCAGGCCATCGCAGGGTCTTATCAGAAGGTCATAGTTGTAGGACAAGCCCTGGCCTCGAATTTGCCGCCACATGGGACCCTGCAGACAACAAATGACATTTTGGCAACGGGCTTTTGAAGAACTATCCGCACTCAGTGTCATAGTGAAGTCAAGTTGCAGTGCGGGCTTACACCTGTATTTACTGGGGTAATGAATGCATTTGCATAATAAATGCACCCCCAACTTCAGTCGTTAAAATTTCGATATTTTTTCCCAAGTAGTAAACGCACCCCATATGTCCATTAATTGCAGTCCCTCTAACCGACACGTGGCACCTCTTACTCATTGTATCTCTTCCATTTATTATTATTATGCCGAAAAGGTCATTCATCGGTATTGCCTCGCAGGTTTCCGGAAAACCAGAAAAAATCGCTTGTCCCCCAAAAAAGATTTAGACTATTTCTGTAACATGGTCACATGCTTAATTCTCACTTCGCTTATTCTTCGTGCGTACAAGAACTTCTCGTGTGAAAGCGAGGCGGCGGCCGTGTTTAGTTGTTAATCTTGTTGTCAAAGGTTTGTTTTGATGCTTTGGGGGTAGCTTGCTGCAATGTTGGTTACTTGCTACTTGCTACATGGCAACGGCATTGCCGCGGTCGTTGTGCGAGGTTGTCTCGAAGTTGGCAAAGTGCGTCCTAGCGCGTGCTTCTGGGTGCCCCTCGAGGTCGCAGCAGATACCACTGTTGCTGTTAAACGATTGCAAGAAAAGATAGCCACAAAACATTTTTATGGCATACATGGGCGAAGCCGAGACATCTTGAAGAAGCTAGCATCATCAACCACCGAAGATGAGTAAAAGTCAACAAAAAAGCTGTTTCCAAACAGTGTACGCATATGTGAATTGCAAAAGATTAAGCGACCTAACTTTTTTTTTTTTTTTGCATAAAATTTGCCTCGTATAATAAACGCACCCCCAACATTACTCAGATTTTTCAAGAAAAAAGTGCATTCATTACGTGAATACATACAGTACTCCTTCGGCATATTGCGAGCATTCTCTAGTTTTTTTTGCAGTTCCTGTTTTGTTTTGTTCTGAGCACTTAAATGGAAAATGATATTTAGCACAAGAAAACACACAGATGAAAAGAGAAGACGCAACAGATGTGCCAACATTTTGTAGAAAGCTAGCTCGCTTGTTGTGTCCTCCCTTCTCGTCCTTGTATTACTTTGCGCAGTTTCATGCCTTAAGTGCCAACGACGGGCACGCGCATGCTCGCGTCTACCCGTCAAAAGCGTGAAATGCGCCTCTCGGCGGCGGCGTCGGAGGGGCATACGCGAGGAGGCACGAGGGATCAAGTCGGGCTTGATATTTTTGCCACGCGTACACCACGTCACCAAGCGTATAGCGGTGCCAACAACCAGAAGCCGCGCGCCAACCAACCAGAAGCCGCAATGCCACCGAATGCTGTGCCTAATGGCCGCCGCTTCGAAGACACGGCCGAGTGCTGAAAGCAAGCACACAAACTACTCCAAACGTTCCTGAGTAACTGCTCTGTAATCTAAAACGACAGTGACACGAGGAATGACTGCGAGTGCTACCAACGTGATTCAGTTTCGTGCCGAGTTCAAGCAATGCCGACAAATCCAGTGAATGCCGGCCGGCTGTGTTTGCGCCGGTCCAGAGTGCGATCGTCAGTCGAGCGAAAACATCGTACAGACTACTGGAGCATGTCGTTGTTCCTGTGCTTTGATCTGCGATTTTCTGCGTTAAAAACGAGTGTAAACAGACTTGCGAGGTTCAAAGTTTTGAGCCTGAGCCCTCGCCAACCGCGGAAGATATTCAAAGCGGCGTCATCTGCATCCAGCGTCGGCCTCTACCATCGAGTTCGTATGAACCAGCTTATGCGAAGTACATTGGCTGAAAAAAATCGACGGTAGTTTCCGTTGCAACATAGACACTATATGCGACGCCCGAAACATCGCGTAGTGCATACGGAGTTATTACCTGCACTGTGTTTGCAACATCAGTATTCATTATCGCTGAAAGCGAACCACGCCGTACCCAACAAATTTCAGTGACGTGAAAACTTATGTACTTATATAAGTATATTCATGGATTGTACGACCCTGAAACATTCGTTGGCTTTGGTGAAAATTGTTTTCGTGTGTTGCCAAGCTAATAACAAGCGTGTGCTGGTTGGTAGCAGTGTGATGTGACTTCGTGTCAGGTATACCAGCGACGCTGACACATTCAGCTGTCAGCGGTCTCATTTCCATTCATGTACAAGATAGAAACTCGAACGTTCGTTGCTGTGGTGATCGAACAAAAATTTGCATGATAAAGTGCTACTAGTATTGCCTGCTATTTCACTTTTCGTTTGTTCTACTTCTCTGCCATGCTCAGTAGCACATACGTTGTTTGGCAGCATTCTGACACACACATTTTTAATTTCTAGTTCATTCCGATACTCATAGCTATAGGCATACAATGACGCTTGTCCGTCGTTTTACAGTTTACTATAATATAACACGCGTTTTGTTTACAGCCGGAGAGATAACTGAAAATCTTGTAAGTGAGAAGCACCTCATTTGGAATCAGCTGCACGATGACACTATAGTAGGAAGAAAAGGTCCCCATATAACCACAGAATGAGTGAATGTGCACAAGTATTGTACTGCACTTTGTTTAGAAGAACAGCAATAAGTGCCTCATGTGACTTATGAGACCATTCAGAACTGTACATGTATTCATCTCTTCCTCCAGACTGTAATGAGCTGAAGATATTATTAGATGGTTTCAAACACTGAATTTTTGTATGTGTGTCCAAGGACTGCTTCATTTCTGTTCAGTTTTTTAGTACACGCATTACTTTGGACTATATATGCATGCACTTAAGCATATTTAAAATATCAAGATATTCAGTTGAGCTACGTTAAAAAACTTGCCAAAACGTCTGTACAGTGCTCTGGTGCAATACTATGACCGGTATCTATTGCATAAAAGATTTTGCACACACCTTAATGCATTATAGGGTATTTTGACCACTGATGACATGTGTAAGCCTTCTATGCAGTGCTTGGCTGCAATCTCAAAACCAATATCTGTCTAATCAAGAAGTGTCAGATGCATTATGTAGATGTTAAAGGATATTTAAACTTCCAGCAAAATGCTAAAGCCTTCAACACATCACTGATCTGCAACCACCATCCAGCTTGGAAGTCATTTGTAGTGCTCTCTAACATGTTCAAATAAAGTTATCGAACACTGGAATGATCTAGTTGGTTTGATTCGTGATACCAGTGTGTCTGACTTTTTGTAGGCAGTTGTTCTATTTCTCTCATTTTTCTATTTTTCTCGTTTTTACCGGGCTCCACTTAGAATGTAGTGTTGTTTGTTCACATTGCCACATTTTTGTGAAACTATTGTTTCAATACTTTCATTTTGTATTTATGTGCATTACTCCTGCAGTAGCCGTGCATTGGGCTGCAGTATTTGAAAATAAATAACTATATCATCCAAAAGGGTACCACGCAGTGCTTGGTTCCAATCTCCTGACTTATATCTCTTGCATCATGAAGTGTCGGGTGTGGTTTCTTGCATTGGAGAACATTTTGGCTGCAGACAACGTTCAAAAGCCTTCTGCACAGGGTTCAGTTGCAATCTTATGACCAATATCTGTGACATCATAAAGTGTTGTGTGTGATTTGTGTTTTTAGAGAATATTTTGACTACAGACAACATCCAGAAATCCTCCATACAAGATTCAGTTGCAGTCGTTTGAGCAATAGTTGTCACATGATGAAGTGTCAGGTACAGTTAGCTGCGTTAGAGCATATTTCAACAATAGACAATGCCGAAAAGCATTCTCCGCAGTGCTTGGTTCCTATCTTATGATTAATATCTGTTGAATCATTGGGAGCATTGGAGGAAATTTTTAATACAGACATCATCAAAAGCTTTCCATACAGGGTTCAGTTGCAATCTTATGATTGATATTTGTGACATCACGAAGTGTCGGGTGTGGCGTGCCGCTTTATAGAATATTTCAACTACTGACAATCAAGAGCCTTCAATACAAGGTTCAGTTGCAATCTTATGACCGATATCTGTGACTTTAAAAAGTGTTGTGTGAGATTTGTGTTTTTAGAGAATATTTTGACTACAGAGAACGTCCAGAAGTCTTTCATACAAGATTCAGTTGCAGTTTTTTGAGCAATATCTGTCACGTGATGAAGTATTAGGCACAGTTAGTTGCGTTAGGGCATACTTCGACTACCAAAAGCATTCTACGCAGTGCTTGGTTCCTATCTTATGACCAATATCTCTTGCATCATTAGGATCCGGGTGTGCTTTCTTGCATTAGAAGATATTTCTAATACAGTCAAGCCTTGTTAAATCATAGTTGGCCGAGCTCGGAAAAAGTACGTACTAAACGGTAGTACTGCTTAACCGAAATAGCATCAGGTAGCTCACTTACCTGTCAAAAAAAGAAACCTTCGGGGAGTGGGTGAAAGAACACAAAACTTGCAGTAATTTATTAACTTCGCGTGACAAAGTCTGTAATCTTAATTTGACGACGCGGCGGCCTAGCAGCAACAACAGCGGCCTCAAACCCACTTATGCTGTGAGCCAGCTTTTCGCCAGCCCCCCTCTTCTCGGCAAATACCCGCATGACGCTGACGCAATGCGCAGCTTAGGCCACTGTCAGACCTGGATCACCCGTGTTGTCACTTTAAATGTCGTCCTCATCACTATCATTTGGCGACACTTCGACAACCGAGGCAACAATGGCTTCGTCGGACATGTCGGGAGATGTCTGCACATCGCTGTTTGCGTCTCTGAAGTCGGGGAAGGAAATGCCTTCCGTAACCTCCTGCCGCTCCAGCACTTAAGCTAGTAGAGTTTTGCAAGCTTCGTCTACGATGTCCGAAGTCTGGTCGATGGTGGCACTGGCGTCATCTGCGTCGCCCGCCCACACACTGAAGCCAGCACGCTTGAAGCAATTTTGAACTGTCGTTTCTGCAACCTGCCGCCATGAGTATTCCGGTCATTGGACGTATGCCATCACCTGTTAATACTTCTGAACTTTTGCGTCTTTAACTACTATTTATTTATTCAACTCTTTGTTTCATGGCATGCTAATTTAGTACCAGCTAATACTTCTGGCTTGTAAGCTCATTTGCTGTTTTTTATATGTATATCTGTAGTTCTTTGAAGTACTGTATTCTTTGTGTTGCATACTAGTATATTACATCTATTGTGTCATTGTCCCACACACATCTCTGAACTCTTCACTGCTCTGCTTATGTACGGAACGAACTAACCTGCTGTCATTCCCGCCGCCAACTTCGCACCGGCAATGCTAGAGTGGCAGCTTGTAACACTGCGCGACTGTTTCTATGTACTACGTATAATGGCTAGCCACTGCATTACATCAGTTTAGTAATCAAGACGCGTGACAAACACTTGGATGTACACGAGAAGAAGTTGTTGCACATGGTAGGTACACCAAAGAACGTTGCACAGCATGATTAAGCTTTACTTTTATTGAAAGACAATTAAAATTTACTTTTACTGCGAAATATCACGCAATGTTTTGCTCAGCCAAATCTTCATTTGCATGAAAGCGCTGTTTACAAACAACGTGTAGTGCCGATAGCTGTTGCCACTTAGCCACGGTAGATATCAACATGGTATGCGAAGTGATCACGAATAAAATATATTATATATATATATAGCATAACTTTTTTCGTGTTATGGCCAGTTCCCCTACAAATAAGATAGACTATCGAAGGGCACGCTAAAATATCAACAACAGAGACACATGTGGTCGTACAGAGACTTTGGTTGGACAGAATATAATGAGAAAAAGTATGTTGCTGGAATAAAGCAAGGGCATTGGTGGCATTATGGAAAAACTCTAGTAGTGTTTGTTGTGACCGAAAATATTTTTGAACCATAAACAGTTCGATACCGTGTAGACAGGAGGACTAATGAACTTTGGCACAGTTGACTGTGGATTCTTTCTATGAGGCACTGTGCCTTCCGCAATAATGCGTAAGATTGCGCTGCGAGTAATCTTCAAAATAAATAAATAAAAAAGCTGTATTCGAATGCCCGCAACAAGACGCAGACATATGAAACTGTAACAAAATGGCACAACTGGCGCAGTTGGACCACCACTGCTATAGTGTTTCCCAAATTCTATGGATACTTTCACGACAGTTATATTATATATATGACAAACTTGAAATGTCTAGGTTTCATCATTTCAAGTTAACATTAAAAATTTAACCAGACACAAAAATTCACAACATAATGTTGCAAAAGTATGCCTTGGTTTCACAAGAGGAACACAAAGTTCAGTATAAATTTCAAGCAAAGACAGGCAAGAGAACAGCCAACACTAATATTGAATTGAAAGTAACCCAGAAAACTTTTATCGACTTCCTATGGACCACGAACAGTACGACAAATTAGAGCAACCATTTTACATTACTTATGGCTTTACTGAATCAGCAGCAGAAGTACCGACAGTAAATGGCAGCTTAGCGGCGATTTGTTGTGGTGGTAGCAGGTGTTCTCGAAAGAGCTTCAGTTACTTAGACTTTTCTTTTTTTGAAGGCCACAGCGTCACGTATAGCTTCAGAATTTCCATTGTATTAATAAAGAAGAAAGTGGGTGGAAAGTTAATCTGCCCTTTAGCTCCTTTTCTTCTTTACAACATCCCCAGCTACCCGATAGTTGACTGTTGCCGCGTGCACCTGCCTAGCCACCCACTTTTGACCATGCCAGCACTGCCAGAGCCACTGGCCAAAGTTTCATTATCTGGCGAAGACTATTTCATTATCTGGCGAAGACTAAAGTGGACATTGGCTGTGCAAGCCCTGCAGGAATTTCCCAACGCTCAGGTCTGGGCCATGTGCTACTCCTTCACAGCAGCATTCAAGAGGGGTTTCACTTTCTGTGCTGGCAAAAATAATTCACTTTGCCGAACACAAGTTCGGAATTTCTCAGCAGGTAACAAGGCAGTGGTCAGTGCACTGTTACCTAATTCTCACATGTGATGCCAAATGCCGAAATCATTGCACGCTGATGTCTGAATGCTTTTCAGAGTTAGCGGCACATTAGACACATTTGACATTCACAAAATGGAAGAAAACACAAAGACCATACCCATACTCAGGACTAAACCTGCTTGTATATTGGGAAGTGCCACATCCTTCCAATGTTACGCTGAAGGCATAATCAGTGCTTGTGCTAGGTCTCCATTCGACCGTCTTGCAGCACATGGCCCATTCTTTACAGAGTCAAAATAGCTTTCCACGAACATAAGCACATGATTTATAATTCTCTCAAAAATAAGTTTCCCAGAAGCCATTGTGGCCATAACTTGGGGCACAAAATATAAGTAAGCAAGTCTTTTTTTTTTTGTGCCAAATTCGTTTGTTTGGACATTCGATACCCTGGACTGTCCTACAATCCTGATGAGGTCCCAAACACCTTCTGGTGGCTTTTACTTCGAGAACAAATTTAATTAAGGGGGGATGTGGCAATGGGAATAGTAAATTTCATCAAAATGTTTAGTTTTTCAATTAACTTTTTTCTGTAATCCTGAGACCATGTTTTACATCATAACGTGATTTTAGATCATATGAAGCAGTAGAAGTAGAGAAACAAGTATTTTACTGGTGGGATGTCGTCAAAAGCTATGTGAAAATTGGGCATAACAAAATGCGAATTCGCAGCTTTACCTTGGCAAAGTGCCACCATATTGGCATCATTATAAAGAGGACAGATTCGAGCTCAAGATAGCGACAAAGATGTGTTTCTCCAATGAAAAATAAAGCCAGCTTCCTTCCAAGTTCCCTTTTTATCAGCTTCTAGCTCCAATTTTTTTTAGCTCCATTTTCTCAAGTTTCATTTTTTGAGCAGTGGCTGTCAGTCATCCCTGTGCATTTTCACAACAAATTAAGCTACAGCCATTCTGTTTCCTGCACTTAGATTCTGAGACATTGGTGAGTGCCATAAAGCTGCCCACATTTGTGTACACATCGTACAGACTTTTGTAATTGGCTTTTTGTAAACGTTGTTGGTAAGACAATATGTCCAGGACATTTCAGAAAAGAAATTGTGTGCTTACTTAAATATTAAAAATAAATCAATAGCATTATGGCCTAAAATGGACTCTTGTAAATATCCTTATGAAACAATTTTGATAAACTTGTGTCTATTTGCTAATTAATTTTGGGGTGACAATGAGTCTCGCTATAACATAAAATTTATATTAGATAGCTCAAAACCAATTTCAGTTATGATATCAGCACAACGAATCACATCTCCAAGCCAAATTTCATCCCTTTAGCTTTCTAAATAACAAATATAATTTTCATTGCCATGTCCCCCTTGACACTTCATTTTTATCCATGAATAATGCCTCAATAAAATTTACTTTCTGAAGATGCTGTTCACATAAAATCTTAACACTTGGTTTTACTTGTCCCCCTCCCCCTCTGAACTTGATGTTTCCTTGTTGTGCTTGCAAGGCCATAATCTTGTATTTCTCAAAGCTTTGTTTGCTCTGTGCACGACTTGTATTGTGTTATATTTAGAAAAAATTTTAAAATACACACAATTATGTTCTCCAGTCCCCAACAACAGGTACATACCAACATGCATTGAGCAAACAACACTGAGCAGCACTGTCACGCACCTCCAACTGTACAAGATACTGGATGAGCACCAGCAATGGAGGCAGGTCTGGACTTGTATAGGAGCTGAGGCTCGGTGAGCACTGGGTCAGGAAGGCAGACTCTACAGAGCCCACAGATGTGATCACATCCCTTGGGAGGCTTTGCTCGTTGCTACGAACCAGCAGGCTATGGCACGACACCTGCGCAACACTGCTCCCCAATCGGCCCAACACGGCATAGTTAAGCTTGCACACTCGACGATATGCAAAAACTAGAGAAGCTAGCCAATATAGGCTGGCATACATCATGAAGTGTAGTGTCATTCGTAACATACATAAAAATGACTTTGTGAACAAATTTAACACATCATTCAAATATGAAGCAATGACAGAGGCCAAGAATGACAAAAGTTGAGCTACTTGGTAATTACAGTTGAATCTCGATAATTCGAACCCAAAGAGGTCCGAAAATTTGTTCAAATGAAAAGAAGTTCAAGTTAATAAAAGCTAAATAAACGGAGGGTTCTCTGCGCGGTGGAGCATGTGCATTGAGCTAACACACGAGGGAGAAGTTTCAGAAGACTTACAAGTATTCACAAATCACAAAACATCCATTATTAATTGAAGTAATCGGTGATGCACCTCTGCACACGTTTGCCTTGCAGCGAGTAAACAAATTTTGCACACAGCTTGCAAAGCATTTCTACTTCGGCTTCAGCATTCTCCCAGCAAGAGAAGTTGCGCACAGAAACCAGCGCAACCACTTTCTAAAGTTGGTGGTGTTAGTGGTTAGAAGAGGAAAAAGGCACCTAATTGCTGCAGCCCGGTTGGCAGCACGGTACAGTGCCACAGAACACCTACCAGGTTAGAGAACGAAAACTGTACCTTTGGGCTGTTGTATCAAAATAACATGTAAATACGTAGCGGCGGCATACTGAACTGAAATACCGCGATGCGAGATGGCGCTGGTAGTACTATCATCATCAATAAAGAGACAAATTTTTTCGTTGCAGGTGGGGGGCTCGCGACTGGTTCGCGCTGGTCGCTTCCTTTGGTTTTTTTTTTTTTTTTCGTTGCTGAATCGCGCTTCACGTCTGTAATCTGTAATTATCACCAGGTGACCTAGGTGGCCTCAACTGGCAAAAACTTCAATCAAGTAAGGTTAGCATCATTTATTGCGAGTGTCCAAGCCGGCACAACCAATGTATTCGGTCGGGTCCAAAGAATACAAGTCAGTCATACATATCGACAGTTTTCAACCCATGCGTAAAGACTCTTGAAAGCTAAAAAGCATATGCATATAACTGAACATCGAGATTGCTGAATGAACGTCGCTCTCATTGTGTTGCGGCATTCGAGTTTAATATCATGGCTTTAGAACAAGGGTCCGATTCTGCCCTCAGATGCGGTGCTTGTCCTGTAGTGTTGATCTTGAAGTGAAGTGAATGCATGATGTGGAATCGGGAAGGAAGCTTGCACATTGCCGATAGATAGCTCGCGCAGTGAGAGCAATGTAGTTTTGCTAAATTTGTTAAATAAGCAATTGCGGATGCGTGCAGTTCTGAATTTTTCTCGCTCTGCAATGCTACATTGAGTACTTCACAATTGTGCAATGTCACGTCGTGTGGACAGAGTAGGCACTAGTTTTAATTCTCAGCCACTAGCCCATATCATCGGTAATATGTATTTAGGTGATGGGCCTAAAAATATTTCAGGCTTGCTACATTTATTGTTAGAGTTAAGTTACACAGTTAATACAGCTAGAATTTCTCGTCACACGTAATGACCGGTCTGCCGAGTATGCAGCGAACATGTATGCGAAAGGAACAGTTATGAGGTGTGTGCTTACAGATCGAAAAGGCCTAGTTCTAAGAGAATGAGCTTTAGGCATGCATTGTACAATTTTGTTGTTTGTACATCTTTGTTGGCACTCTTAGAGTACACTATCTGCTCAGCTCTGAGCACAACCTATTTTTTGCATAGACATATTGATAAAGATTGAGAACTCTCTTGCAAGCAAGCCCTGCAGAAATCAATTGGTGGTACATGATGTAAATCTGTCCAAATACTGGATCAATAAACGTCACATTTATTGCACACTTGTTATTGTGTTTATTTTTTCAATATACTTGTGCTTGAAAGCTGAAGTTGTTTTCTCTCTGCTACTTTTAAAGATTAGGACTTGAAATACGTACTATCTTGCAGTGTGGCTGTAGATAAGTCAAGATCATGTATTTTTGAACTACCTGTGTGATTTCTTAGATTTTTTTCATGACGGTAGTGCAAAGAATTTCTCTTCATAGTGGTAAACACTATAGTTACGACAACTTAATTTAAACAGAAACAGATGTGCTCAAAGACATCTGGGTCGTTGTTGAACCTTTGTTGTTGAGGTCAGAAGTGCCACACAATCTAATAGTGTTTCAGTTTTAATGGTATTTAAGTGCAGATTCCATGTCACGGTAGGCAGCCAATGCTTGTGGCCAATCTAAAGCACCTCTCTACGATATGCGCGGTAAAACATTCCCAAATACAGCATTGCATGTGTGAGGTTCAAGATGACCTGTTGTAGTGGACACTCATATGTTTCAACGTGCTTGCAGAGTGGACATTCGGGGGTAGTCATCTTGTTGCATGGCAGTCTAGAAAAACAAGTAACATCACCAGATATCAATGCATGAAATTTTCGAAAGTAAAAAAATAAACTAAGTTAACTAGTAAACAACAGTATTTTATACATATATATGATGGTACCTCATGACACATGTATCACTCAGGGCTGCTTCTTCACAAAGCATGTCATATAGCAGGTTCCTTGCCCATTGTACACAGCTGCTTCCATGTCAGGTGGGCCAGGATGCTGTGGCAGAAAAAGAAGTATTTCTAATTTATGTGACACTTTCTTTGTCACACTATAGCAAAACCACACCCATAATTATGTGTTGTTTCTCAAACGCAACCGCAGTAAACTATCAACTCGTAGGTTTTTTTGCACTAATATATGGGCTAGCTACGAAGACACATGCGAGGCGACAGGGATTTATTTGCCTTCTTTCATCGCAACAGCCTGGATGGTGTTACCTGGCGATAGAATTTTAGAATTGACGAATCAGCGACTCGTTCTCTCGCAAAGCCATCCCAAAGTAATGCACGTTTTTCCGGTGATAGATTGAGACGTTAAAAAATTTTAAAATTTAATATTGCAATGCGCTGCCATCATGTGACACCTATGCAGTCATTGGCAAAAAAACAACATATATTAAAATGAAATGACTAGCCCAGCAAGCAACCATCAAAAAAATGAAGTGGTTTCTACTCACCGGCCCGGGCTTGCAACGGGTGTTCATCTGATGAAAGCTTCAGCAGTCGCTTCGTTCCCCAGAAATCACTTGACCTCCCTTCGCGAAAGCATTTGAACGAATCAAAATAAATAGAACGAGAAAGAGTGTGTCGATCGGCAGAGGCTCGAAATATTTACAGCGAAATGAAACAGTCCAAGACACATCATAATGTACCGCGAGCCGTTACCTGCCGTCACAACAATTGGCCACCGTATATTTTGAAAAGAAGATAATGATGTCGATAGGCTGCTGCTGACCTCGAGTCAGCTGAAGCAAGAACTATTACAAAAAATTGATGATGCAGCACAAGTTTTAGAAAAACTACTTGCTATAAGAACAAGTAGTTTTTTATGCGTAACGAAACGCAAAAATGCAATATATGATCGTTTTAGAATTGAAACTTGGCCCCGACGCGGGTGCCCTACAAGAAAGTGCAACAGCGCGAGTGGCGAGAGAGGTTAGTAAATCCACTCTGGGTGTTTGAAGCAGAAACGCGCCGTGTTGATTCTTTCGCCCCCTACAGGTGATCACTTCAACTTGAGAGTTTCCGGGGCCTGGCAGTGCCTTTCTAAAGATGGCGACAACAATGACTGCGTAGCGAAGCCGCAGCATGGCCAGCACGTGACGAGAAAAGAGGAGCGTCGCCACGCAGAGAGCAGCAGATTAGCATTTGAGAGAAAACCAACACTCCACGGCAGCCTCTTTTTTTTTTTTTTTTTGCTCTCTTCCTGTGTGTCGTTGAAAGCAGAAGGGTTACGTGGCAGGGACAGGAAAGGAGAAAGCGTGACACAGGCACGTGAGAGACATCCGCCCCCTCAAGGAGTAGAGCCATGCTCCCGCAAGGGGCAAGGGCTGCAGAGATAGTGCCTTTTTGCTTTCCTTCAACCACATATTCATTAAACCTAGCGACAGCTTTCTTTTTTTTTTCCTCACTCTCTTTGCGTGCGGCATTGGAAGAAGAAGGGTCTTTACACGGCAGTGACCGAAAAGGGAGAATTGTGACACGGGCACGTCACAGATCGGCATTTGAGAGAGAGAAAACATTCCACAGCAGCCTTTTCTTTCCCTTTCATTTCCTTTGCGAGCAGCGTTGAGGTGTCGTAGGTCTAGGTCCCGCCGCTGGATTGGGTGGGGTGCTGAGAGCGTTTTCGGAGCGCGGTATGTTCGAATTAACCATCGCAAGTGCTTGCGCGTTCGAATTACCGGGCGTTTTCACCCATTGGAATACACATAGCCTTGATGGGACCAATTCGTATGTTTGAATTAACTGGAAGTTCGAATTAGGCGTGTTCGAATTAATGAGATTTGACTGCATATTATCAAGAAAGGAGGTGAACAAGCAATCATGAACACACAAGAGAATGAGACGACAAAAACACTAACTATAGACTCAAAGTGTGCACAGTGTCAGAAAATAAGGTAAGCACAAAGCTTAGTTCTGTGTGCTCAGGCATTGAGCGCCACCTTTCAATCAGGCACACATTCGAATGTTAGCAAAACATAACTGCTTAGATATTTATTTCTTTATGCAAGTTGATCAAAGGCTGGCTCATGCATGCGCTTCTACTAGATGCGAAGCCTCCACTACTTCACACACACTTATAATTACATAGTGCTGGTATCAACACTAGTAAACCAGCAAGAAGGGGACGATGGACACAAAAGAAAACGGGACACAGATAGATTACTTACATTAACTCTCAAGCACAACACGACACCTAATAGAAATGTGAATATGGGCAGTTAAAAAAGGTGCCAAAATATATTTTATGACTGTACACAAATGACTTCATTCAACTTATGGTTGTCTTTGCAAACACTAAAAGCTAACTTCATGACAACTTTTGTTAACCGTGCCCTTCATAAATGA